TAAATCTTTAAAGAGAAAAAGAAAAAGAAAGTCCAGTACTATCAGGGCGATGGCACATAAACCTCAAAGACACTGAGGTCCTGGGGGCCAGCTGCACAGTCATGCTCCTGGACACCTGGATGGCCTGTGGCTGCTTATAAGCTCTGATGACAGAGCTGAGTAGGTGGGACAGAGCCCATGTGGCCTGAAAGTCTAAAACAATTTACTGGATGGTCCTTCTTTAAAATTTTTAAATGTCTTTATTTATTTCTGAGAGACAGAGAGAGACAGCGTTGAGCAGGGGAGGGTCAGAGAGAGAGGGAGATACAGAATCCGAAGCAGGCTCCAGGCTCTGAGCTGTCAACAGACCCCGATGCAGGGCTTGAACCCACGAACCGTGAGATCAAGACCTGAGCCAAAGTCGGGTGCTCAACCGACTGAGCCACCCAGGTGCCCCAGGATGGTCATTTTTTAAAAAATAATGTTTATTTTGAAAGAAAGAGAGCACACATGTGTAAGAGGGGCACAGAGAGAGAGAGAGAGAGAGGGAGGGAGAAGAGAATCCCAAGCAGGCTCTGTGCTCCATCTCACAAACCGTGAGATCATGACCAGAGCCGAAATCAAGAGTCAGATGCTTAACCGACTGAGCCACACAGGCGCCCCTCTCCGTGTGGTCCTTTAAGAAAAGTCATGCCAACCACCGATTCTGATTAAATTCGCACTTCTCCAACCTTTTAGCTAACAGTACTCTCTTCGATCTGGAGCTTGCTTTCCATAAAATTTTCTCAACGCTAATCATAGCCCCTGAGAAGGTAGAGCTGAAGCATCACGTGTTTTGCGCTCCTCCTGCACAAGGGAGGTGAGGGGGGCGCCCGAGGGCAGGTCACAGCCTGCAGAGCTGCGGTGTCTGCAGAAAAGGAGATGTGTGTCCTAGGAAGGGGACAAAGGAACAGCTTCAGGAGTTCAGAGCAGTGTCGTCTGGTGTGTGGAAAGGGGGCAGGTGGGGAGAGGGGAGGGAGGAGGGGAACAGGAGGCAAGAGAAGATAAAGAGGCGAGGCGCTGAAGGGAGGCAGAAGAGGAGGGCGAGGAGCCCTAAGTCCTAGGTAGGGGAGGTTAGGCGCTGGGAGGGGGGCTGGGCAGGGGAGCAGGCGGGGGGAGTGGGCAGGGGGAGTGGGGAAGGGCAGGCTGGGAAGGGCAGGACCCGCTGGTTACCGGAAGCTGCCCCAGGCCTGAGGACTGGAGCCGGTCGGACTGGCTCCAGCAAGCGGCCTCCGCGGGAGCAGGGAGGGCGCACCGAGGGCAAAGCTGCCGCAAGGGGGCCAGGAGGAAGAGGCCGCCCCCCGGGGACCAGGAGCTGTGGGTGCTGAGTGAGGATGCGGAGGGCAGCCCGGCCCCGGCCCCCTGCCGCGCTCCGCAGGCACCGCCCTGAACACCAGGCAGCCGGTCCCTTCCCACCACAGGAGCAGGTCTTGTGCCGTATTTTACTCTCCTATCCATACACCTGTTTGCAAATCTCCAAGTCCTGCCGAAACCCTATGCTGAGCTCCTCGGGCTCACTTCCGACTTGAAGCACTTTTAAACAGATCCAAGTAACACCTCCAAAGGCTCAGGGGACTGAGCTTTAACCCCCAAAGGTGAAAGAACCCGGCTTCCCCAGGAAAGTCAGAAAGGTCATGTTGCCAAAGACCTGATCTGGTGAACTTCCGTCCAAAAAATCAAGACAAACCAAACAAATGAAAACCTGCAAGCCCTTTGGACATCTTTGCTGCCCAAGGGGGGATGCAGAATTCCTCCTTGTTGTCTGTTTTCCTAAACTCTCATCTCACAAACAGCACAACTGTGACCCCGTGAAAGCTATCTGGGCACCATGAACCTCACTTTCCTTGCTGGGTCCCGTTCATTTACATATTTATTTATCCAAGAGAAGAGAACCACCCAGTGACCTTCTCTCTCTTTCTCTCTCTCTCTCTCACACACACACCAGTCAGAAGACAACCTCTGTGTGCCTCAAACTCCAAGAGCTCGCTCTCAACGCGACAGCAAATGCCACAGGTGGAGACGGAGTTGGAGGAAAAAACAATCTGTATAATTCTGCTGTTTGGAAGGTGCTCAGCAGAAGAGGATTAACTCTCAAAACTTCCTGCCCAACGTAAAAAGCCTCAGGGAAGTTTCTCGTTCTTCGCACATTCTGTTATGTAAGATGGACAGCTGGGCCCACACAGGAAGGTTCTTCCTCGGTTCTTCCCTACTGTTACTAGGCCTCATACTTGGAAGAAGAGAAACCGTGTTCGTTTTCGGATTCCAAGGACTCAGTCTCACACAGGCAGACATGGAAAAGCATACAGTCCTCCAAACAGGTGAAAATACGCAACACGTGTAATCAGCTGGACTTCCGAGCGCGATTCTGGACTTCCTGGCACCTCCCTAGCTACACCTGCCTGCTCTTTATCAACAAACTCAGAGGCTCTTGTGAATTTCTTTTTTTTGTTTTAACAGTTTTGTGCTTTTTTTCTTAATGTTTATTTTTGAGAGAGTGAGAGACAGTGTGAGCAGGGGAGGAGCAGAAAGAGAGGAAGACACAGAATCTGAAGCTGGCCCTAGGCTCTGAGCTGTCAGCACAGAGCCCGATGCGGGGCTTGAACCCACAAGCCGTGAGATCATGACCTGAGCCGAAGCTGGACGCTTAACCTACTGAGCCCCCTAGGCACCCCTTACAAATTTCTTTAAATGGGCGTCCAGAGGATTCATGGAAGAAAAAAGTCTGCCAGGGGACAGTGGTTTCATCTGCAAATATCTAGGTGCTCTTTATGCAAAGGACACGGGGACCGCCTGTCCTGTGTGCAGAGAGTTTACGCTTCCCCGCCACATGGGGGGTGCAGGCAAGGCGGAGAGTGTTGAAAGGTATTGATCGTGATTTCTGGAAACAGTGGGCCAGGGAGATGGTCCATTACTGGGGCGTGTGCTCAGAGCCAGACGGCTTAGTTTCATTTTTATATTGATGTCCTGTAAGGAGAACGGAAGCAGGACTGCCCTGGAAGGTAAAACGGTTACTCTGCATCACAGCTTTTCACAAAGGCAAAAATGCAGATAATGCAGTCAGTCACATGTGGGCTAAAAACTGCTAACACCAGTCAAACAAAAGGATCACAGGGGACCATTCTGGAGCAGCCATTTAAAATGGCCACTGGGTGCCTGGGTGGCTCAGTCGGTTGAGCGTCTGACTTCGGCTCAGGTCGTCCGACTTCGGCTCAGGTCGTCCGACTTCGGCTCAGGTCGTGATCTCATGGTTCGGGGGGTCAAGCCCCACATGGGGCTCTGTGCTGACAGCCAGCTCAGAGCCTGAAGCCTGCTTTGGATTCTGTGTGTCCAGCTGTCTCTGCCCCCACTCCGCCCACACACACTTGCTCGCTTGCTTGTTCTCTCTCTCCGAAAAAAACGTTAAGAAAATATTGTACTATTTTGTCACCTGGTTCCAATGGCCCTGGGGTGGACCTCGCGCGTATGTGTGTACTCATTAACAGTTTCCTGGGGCTTCTGGGTGGCTCAGTCCGTCAAGCATCTGGCTCTTCATCTCAGGTCGTGATCTCATGGTTTGTGGGTTCAAGCCCCGCACTGGGCTCTGGCAGTGCGGGGGGTTGCATGGGATTCTTGCTCTCTCCCTCTTTCTCTGCCTCTCCCCAACTCACTCTTTCTCTCTCAAAATAAATAAACCTAAAACAACAAAAACACGGGGTGCTTGGGTGGCTCAGTCGGTTGAGTGTCCGACTTCAGCTCAAGTCATGATCTCACAGTTTGTGAGATTGAGCCCCACACTGGGCTCTGTGCTGAGGTGCAGAGCCTGCTTGGGATTCTCTCTCTCTCTCTCTCTCTCTCTCTGTTCCTCCCCGACTTGGGTTTTCCCTCTCAAATAAACTTAAGAAACAAAAAAACCCACAAAACACAAAAAACAATGTAGGCAGAAAAGAACGTTTACACCAAAATGAGCACAGCCCCCTTAGAATGCTCACAGTGTGAAGCAGTCCAGTTATTCCAACGAGGCAACCACACTTAAAAACAATGGCAATCTCCTCCGTTTAGAACCTTTCAAGACACTGGAGAAATCAGTCTCACCAAATGACTTTCTCTACATACACCAAAACACACGCTTTTGTTTTGTTTTGTTTTGTGGAAAAGGAAATTACGCCATATATCCTGCCGTACACCTTGATTTTTTCCCATTTAATGATGTATCACAGAAATACGTGCACACACGTGGCTGACAGGAGGACGGAGAAGGCACTGGCTGGCCTACTGCGTGCATCTTCGTGTACAGCCTGGTGAGCTTCAGGCACCCTCTTACAGTCATACTTTGCAGGACACCAAATGTGAGCAAGGAAGTCCAAGTTCTCTGTACAAGCACATCGGACAGATATGCTTTGCTAGGGTGCTGGTGTCAGGCACGTGGATTCCAAGCGGTCTCAAACTCTTTCGGGGCTGAAGTAGGGTACAGAAACCACCGCCAAACAACACATGCATGAATGAAAGGCGGGCGCTTCTAGAGAGAGCCTGCCGTAAAATGGGAACAGTGAAAAAGTCAGCCGACTGAAGCAAGGTCACTCCCCCCGCCCCCCACTTCTCTCTCTTTAAGGTCAGGGTGTAGCCACAGGCTTCCTTAGAGCCATGCATCAAATCTTAGCTTCTCTCTGGAGAAGAGTGGGAACTGCAAGTCCCACATGCGTGTCTGAAGAATGGAGGGTTAAATCAAACAAAATTCTCGAATCGGTCAAATCACTTCCAAACTGATGCACAAAGGCCACGTCTTCACCTCCGAGCCCAGCTGAAAACGTTCCCGTATTATCAAGGCAAATAAGAACTCAAATGCTGGAGAACTGCAGGGAAGCATCGACCCCAATCGGTCCCCTCAACCATGCGTCTTCGGAGGGACGCCGGGGGCAGCTGGCATGCAAACGGCTGACACGCGGCTCCGGCTTCACCGGCAGGTTCACTACCATCTGAAAGGCAGAGACGTTCCCGCAACTTACCTCCGTCATCCAAGGGCCGTGTCTGTACTCCGTATCCATACACTGAGGGGTCCACTAGAGGTGTGGAATTATTCAAGTGAGGAATTGAATCAATTTTAGCAGCAATCTACAGAGAGAATCAGATTTAAAGACTCAGTAACAAATCCGGGCTCCTTCTGAGGGAGACAGCCGAGAGCTCTCTAACCCGCTTCTCCCCTGCCCTACGTTAAAGGCAGTGTCCCCGAGAGGACACTTTTCACTGCCAATTGAGTCTTCTTTCAGCCTCAGTAACAATGTGTCTTTAGAAATAAAATACTTTGCAACACGTGTCTTCTACAAATCAGTATTTCTAAGCCAACGCTTGAAAGACAGGTACAGTGCATTCTAAGAAAAAAGGCAGGCCATCAACACGAAGAACTTCGTTCAAAAGGTTTTGGCACATGACGCGCCTGGGTGGCTCTGTCGGATGAGCGTCTGACTTCGGCTCAGGTCATGATCTCACAGCTCGTGAGTTCAAGCCCTGCGTTGGGCTGACAGCTCAGTGCCTGGAGCCTGCTTTGGATTCTATGTCTCCTTCTCTCTTCTCTCCCCCTCCCCCGCTCACACTCTGTCTCTCAAAAATGAATAAACGTTAAAAATTTTTTTAAAAAAATAAAGGTTTCAGCACAGGATTCCCTTAAGAAACCAATTCCCAGTACTACTTCAAAGGCTGCATTTGCTTAAACGTGACCGCTCGTTAGGAAAACATCCATCCCGTAACTTTGATGCCTATTAAGTGATGATGTCATCTCTGCAGACACACAAACAACAGCGAGCGGCTCCCCAATGGGGGTGTCCGAGCAGCGGGGGGGAGGGCTGTCTGTCCAGGCTACCGCAGAAGGATTCCTGCGCCGGAGAAAGCAAGAGACCTCTCAGAGTGACTTCAATTTTCAATATTATTGGCTTAAAAAAAAAAAAAATCATCCAGCTACTGAAGTGTTTCTCCCCAGAAACAAATGCTGTGAGGAACATTTTTATCTACTTTGTTCACAGGAGAAAGTTAAATGGAATCTTTCTGATGAATCAGCTCTTTATCACTTAATCGAAGGAACATTTACAGCAACTGCTCTTGATCTCAGTCCCTAAGTCAAGCCTAAGAAGTCGGGGTGGACTAAGGGGCAGACAGAAGGGCTGTCCCCCAGAGTGGGGCCTTCAGGGTAGTTCTGGGCTCGTCCAAATGCACCCAGAAGTCTGAAAGCTTCGGGGACCAACATGAATGCCTTAAAACAAATTAAAAAACCCCAAGATGACCATGACACTGCAAACCCAAGGCAGGACTCAAGCGTCAGGGACCCAGGGGTCAGGTGTCTCCCTCCGGCCACTAGTCGTGTGGGCAAGCCCCTCCCCCCTCTGCAGCAGCTGCTCTGGACGCACCAGCACTGGCCGCACAGTTTGGGCTAAGCTAACAACATACTCTTGGGGCACCTGGGGGGCTCAGTCGGTTAAGCGTCCGACTTTAGCTCAGGTCATGATCTCACGGTTCGTGGGTTCGAGCCCTGCATCAGGCTCTGTGCTGACAGCTCAGAGCCTGGAGCCTGCTTCAGATTCTGTGTCTCCTCTCTCTCTGCCCCTCCCCTGCTCATGTTGTCTCTCTCTCTCTCTCTCAGAAATAAATAAAACATTAAAAAAAAGATTTTAACATACTCTCAACACAAAGGAGCTCTGGATACTAGAAAGCCCTTCACAGACAGCATGACTGAAAATGAGGCAACTCGTCCAACAAATGCCGAGTGCCTACTGTGTGCCGGGCTCTCTTCCACGCCCCGGGCTCCTGTGGTGAACGAGAATAACCAGGCCACTGCTCTCTGCGTCAGCAGTTGGTGGAGAGTGACAGGTCGTCATGCTGGGCAAGAGGCGATCATTTCAGCTGGTGACAGGCATTATACTAATAAGAGAAGATAACGAATTATGCTAATAAGAGAAGGTAAGTGGGTAGGAGAGCTACTTGACACCTGGTGATCAGGGAAGGCCACTCTGATGTCTTTAGATCATGGGAGCTAATGCCTAGCAAATGAGGAAGAGCATTCCAGACAGAGGAAACAGCCCGTACAAAGGCCCTGAGGCAGAAGCCAGCCTGGTAGGTATGAACACAGAAGAGAGAGGTCAATGTCACTAGAGAAGAAAGAACTAGATGACACAAGCAAGGGCTGGTTGGCCAGGGCTCCAGGCCATGGTAAGGGGCCTGGACTTTATAGGAAGGGTGACAGGAAGCAGCTGCAAGGCTTAGTAGGGAAGTGACATGGGTACTGATTTACTTTTCCAAAAGATCGCCTTGACAAGGAAAATAGATTCTAAGGAGACAGGAGTAGGAAGATCATTTAGGAGCTATTCTAGGTCAGGGGTCAGCAAAGTATGGCTGGTGAACCTCCGGCTTTTGTAAAGAACGTTCTACTGGAACACAGCCACATGCATTTGTCGAACTGCACGGAGACCATATGGGGTCCAGGGCCCACATATATCACCTACTGTTTGCGCCTTTACAGGGAAAGTCTGCCGACGCCTGTCGAGGTAGAGATGATGGTACCCTCAATGGGGGCTTGTTTAAAAATATTATTATAAGTAACCTACAGTAACAAGACTGCTGCCAGAAACCCAACCTCCTATATCCAAGGGGCCATTTGCTATAAAACAAAATACGGTACAAACCCTGCCCAGTAGCATTCTACCGCTGACTTGCAATCTCACTTTCCCTATTTGTTTTGGATAAGCTCGGGGAGGTTGGCTACTTAAAATCCAAAAGTATACTTTTAACGACGCAGCTGGCCAAACAGGTGGATTAAGAGGTGAGAATATGGCAGTGGCCCCTGCCCCCGGAGACCCTCGCATCGGCCGTAATAGACTAAGTGGTAACTGACCGACGTGGGGGTCTTCAGGATTACTGGCCCAGAGAGGGCCCAGACTGCTCCCAATTTAGTCAATCACGACGACCCCAAAACATAAAGAAAGGGGGACAAGGGATCACGATTATCAAGAGTCCCCCAACAGAGTGCATGTCAAATCACCCCCAAACACAGACCCCCAAGACATAAACTGGCACATTCCCTGCTCCCTTCTGATGACACCTCTTAGCTTCCGGATCTTTTCACTTCCTTCCAAAGTAGCTAGAATGTGTTCCTGAGTCTTGGGCCCTCCTTATAATCTCTACAGTTAGGTTTCACATGTTGCTGGAATGTCATTTTTTCCCCCAAAGCCGATATGCTAAAAATGTTACAATAGTTTCCTGTTCCTAGATTTGATTAAAGGCTGAGGCTCTCAGATTTGTTCTTAAGTCATGTTTACCTCAGTTATCTATAATTTGGGAAATTTCCACTAAGAGAAAAGCAGTGCAGAATACCAGTTAAGAGGTGTAGCCCTGAAGTCAATGGGCTGCACTTGAACTCTGGTTAAACAAATGTTAAATACGAGTTTGACAATACAAGATACAATTATATCACTGACAATACATTGTATGTACGACAACATTCTGTATAGAGACAGTGTACTCTTTTCTTCATACAAATGTACCCTTGTTTCAAGAAATGCTTTTATGAGGGGCGCCTGGGTGGCTTAGTTGGTTAAGCGTCTGACTTTCACTTAGGTCATGATCTCACGGTTCGTGGGTTCGAGCCCCGCGTCGGGCTCTGTGCTGACTGCCAGCTCGGAGCCTGGAGCCTGTTTCAGTCTGTGACTCCCTCTCTCTCTGACCCTCCCCTGCTCATGCTGTCTCTCTCTCTCTCTCCTAGAAATAAATAAAAAAAAAAACATAAAAAAAAAAAAAAAAAAAGAAATGCTTTTATGAGTCCACTAAAGGAGTTAAAATTTTGTGAGTGTTTACTATGTGCTGGGTACTCTGCAAAGGGCATTTTAAATACGCTCTCACTTGTTCCTCACCGTGATTCTCTAGGAGGCTGGTATTATTTCCATTTTAAAACAAGGAAAAGTGAGGCTCAGAGAGGTTTAATGCTCTGCCCAAAGTCACACATGTCACAAGCGGAGGCACCGTACTTAAACCCGGCCCACCCAGCTCTAGTCTGTGCTATTAACCACAGCACTGGGCACCTCCCTTCTTCTGCCTAAAACTTTCTTAAATGCATCTCTCTTCCCAAAGACCTAAGACCCAGTGATTTCCAGGGCACAGAGCTCAAGCAAGTCCTCACATCGTAACTGATCGTTCTGGCGGGAGGTGAGGTACGGTGTAGGCCAGGAAACCCCAGAGCACTGAAGCCAGGATAATCCAACAAAACCAAGGCCAGCGCAGAGCTTATCAGAGAGCATGACCTTGAGCGGAGTTTGCTACTGATTTTTTACCACTTGATCCCCTTTCCCACTCTTTTGGAGGGAGGCAAGGAGGAAAATCAGTTCTCTTGCTACACGTGCTGTTTTAGGCGCCGTAATATGATGAGATACTAACTAATGTCATACTCACTTCACCCCGACTCCGAATAGTTAGCAGAAATGGGAAGGGGAGCACTGCACTAGGAGTCAGTCGGTCAAGAGCCCTGGTTTTCCAACCAGCTCTTCCAGGGTTAGGTGAGACCTTCAGTGGCCTTGCTCCTTGGGGCACTTGCCTGTGAAGTGCAGAGACAGACTAAACCAGTGTTTTCCAGGGGGAAGTACGCAGGCATTTTCGGGAGATGCAAGGATAAATGTTTTTAAACTTCTGTATACACGTATTTCTTAGTTACCTTCCACGCGTGGCAAAGTTTTTCACTTATGATAGGGATTAGACTTCCTTTCAAAAATATTTTAAATGAACCTGAATTTTAATAAGATCAAAAAATACTAAGTAAGTACACATTGAGGGTCAGATCGTGAAGGCGGATATGCACATCATTCAATTTAGGAAACAGCGATGAATTATTCCCTGGGGCACAACTCTGCTACTAAAATGCTCTGACAAGGTTCATAATCCGAGTAGTTCGCCTCGTAAATCCAAACAGGAAGCTGTAACTATCTCCGCAGCCTCACGCGTATTAAAACACTATGCCGGGGGCACTATGCTGGGGGGCTCAGTCGGTGAAGCGCCCGGCTTCGGCTCAGGTCATGATCTCACGGTTCGTGGGTCCGAGCCCCGCGTCGGGCTCTGTGCTGACAGCTCGGAGACTGGGG